TTTAATATTTTGTCAACGAAAATCTCCTTTCCACTTAGTCGCATTTAACGCTCGCACACTCTACCAGATCGGTCAACAGGCTGGCAGTATTTGGCCTACCTACAAACCATGGATTTCTTTCATTGTTATAAGGATTATTGTACCGTGCTTTGTTTGACATACAGTCTAAACTCAGACACGTGTGAACTATAATGTAATGATAAAATTGCTACCTCGAATCACCTTGAAAACGAGTTCCCTGCTTGCGGATACAATCGGTCCACCGACTTGGCTGAATCGTCTGGTCACTCACTTCGGACATAGATGAACGTCAACTACTGACGGGGCTCTTCAAATCCAGAGTTGCTAGTAGCACGGTGAAGCTCACCAAGCGTTCTCGATAAATTTTAACTAGACACTATTCGGCGCAGTTGATTGATAGCGCGGCGATTGTCAGTACTAACCTGTAAGCGCATGATCATTTTCGAAGGAACGGTGCAAATAAAGACTACCAGCCGATCCGCATACCTTCTGTTCGTTCGAACTAAGCAATTAGAGGTAGAAGCTGCATAGGATGTGGATGAANGTGAGTAGGCACGCGGGTCGGAAAATGCAAAGGTGATGAAAAGTAACCTAACTGTACTGGAGCCAGTCAAGGGGTACATCTTGTGAATCTGTGACCCAATTAGCCGCATCCTATCGAGCCCATTCCAATGTTGTGGATAGTAAATCGGTCACTTATTTGGCGATTCACCTTGAGTATGCTGATCTCAGAGGGACTAAATCAACGGTTGTGAACAATCAGCGGCAGTGCTCCAGGATGTAGTTGAGTTTTGCCTGACTAACGTCCTTCGTTATAAAACATAATATAAGTCGGTAGACCGCACTGAAACGTGGAGATCGTGATCCACCACAAAATAAGACTAGTGTTCCTGTTCAGTCCCATCTACTCCATATGACCTTTTGGAACGGCTGCCGGGACCGTATAGTATGTCACCGGCTCATTTAGACTGACCTTGCTGCTCTGGAAGCTTCACACCTCAAGTGTGCAAGAGTTAATGGTGCCACCTCAAACAGACGGGTAGGGTGGAATGCGCTCAGCCTATCTTCTACTCTCGATTGAATGACCGAACGGTGCTGGGGACAGTTCATCGTATTCTATTTATACGAATGTTTACAGGTGTTTACAAAACCATACGCTGTTGACATGCTCTAAGGTGATATCAGTGACTTACCTGGAGCCCAGTTATTCTGTAGTAGGAGATAGCTGCGTCATATTAAGTACAACTCAAGTGTTTTTGGTTGACGTGATATCGGATTAATGGATCAAAGCAAATGGTCGTCCACTTCACCTTTCCCACAGCCTTAAAAATTGTTATAGTGAGCAAAGGCTTTGAATTGGAAGTAATCGTTCTTCATTATCGTGGTTAGAATCTCTAGCAGTATTTGTCCATCGAGCTACAGTGAATGTAATACACCAACTGGAAATAATTCCATCCAGTTGCCGCATAGGATAATTACGATCATGCTGCCCATTACATCAAACCGTATAGACAGTGACAACTGGGCTGCTAGTCATATATCCCGAGATGTGACTACTGTGTAACAATCAAGGAAGGCTGAGTGTATTGCATTGTGCAACTTTTGCAAGCACAGAAGTTTGAATTTCAGTTAAAAAGGCTCTACTCTCGAACCGCCGAAATGAACGCACTTTATATGGGAAAATGTATTCTTAGGCATGAGAATGAAGTATAAATTTCAGGTGTAGTTCACATGTTTCGCTCTCTCTCTCTCTGTTCGTGAGTATACGTGCAATATAGGATATGGGCAAATTTCTGTCCTGTCACCGGGGCTTTGATAGTAAATAAAGATCGGTCGTAATTAGTTAATAGAAGAGGAAGTGGACGAATAATTAAAAAAGACTATGAATGCTGTCTGATGGAAATTTTCTCAAAGGTATTTGTGGAAAATAGTGTATTTTTTTGAACATATGTTGTTGGTAATGAAATTGCAGCTTCCATGCGAATAGCCAGAGTTTTTATCCCCGAAAATCTGTTTAATTAGAACATTTAACTAAACGGTGACCGATATTATTCTTTTTGTGTGCTGCGTTTTTCACTTACTCGTCTAACATGTTGATCAGAAAACGTGAAAACAAGTCGCTTTTTTTTTCTATCCTACCCTCTTTCTCATGACTAGCCACCAACCGCATGGGGTCGCGTCATCCACTCTTGGCGTTTCCAGGGTTTTCTTACATTGATATTGTGGATTATTGCGGTTCAACTAGAATTCGGTGCGGTATGTTTTGTCCTCGCTGCTCTCTATTGGATGTGGACTTGGGGCACAGAGAAGTACACACGACCACGGGATCCCAACGAACCGGTGATACAAGCTGCGTTTTTCTTTGATCCGTCTCCCGTGCCACAGGTGCATGTGCGATGAGCTGTCTCTGTTCTGTTTTGTCCCGCATGTGTACTCATGGAACCACACGTCTTTTGATGAATAAGAGGAGTCCTCCATGTCTTTCACACCACTCTTAGTGGTACACGGTCTTTTACTATCCGCTACGCACTTTCAGGTCACTGTATATTTTCATTGTCAATCAGAAACATCCAGTTTTTTCATCAGCTGTGATAAATGATCTAGTAATTCTCACTTTTTTCTCATAACAAATTCTGTCAACATATTCTGAGTTATTTGGCTGTTTTTTTAGCTGGTGTAGAATATTCATTTGCGCTCGCTGTGAACACGGACCCATGGGCATTGTACGCATACACCAAAGGGTTTCGTTGCGACGAAATGTCCGTCATCATCGTACAGCGAAATACAGTGAAGTGAACTTCACTGATCTCTGCCAAACTCGCAATACATACAAGGTACGAGGTAATACTTAAGGTGGGCAGGGATGGGACCTATTTTGAGCGGGGGAGAAGAAGGTGAACCTGTATGGTATGTATCGAACTCTTCATACATGCGGTTTCAAGCATCCTGGCCTGATAAGAAATGACAACAAGAACGCCATTGCTGTCGGTTCGCTGCTAGATCCTTCAATGTCTCCAACCAACCAGTTGTGGAGTCTTTCGGACCCCAACCTGGAAGGTGCGTGACAACTACTCGACCTAATGGCTATGTGCATTTCTTCATGCCTCGCCTTCATATCAACTGTTGACCTGCACGTGGTTTCCTCCAGCCCAAAACGGCTACAGCGGATAAGGAGCGATGTGGTATACGGTAGTTGGGCTGACGCGATACGTGCCCTAGCCAGCGAAGCCTAGTAGTCTAAATTCGATGTGCTAGCAGGTTTATACCTGATAGACTTCCATTCACACGACGGCTTACCTCCAGCCCGTTCGCACCATCCCACGTGGGCTAAACTACGTAAACACCGATTAATCGAAAACTTCTAGTCAATGACTATCTTCCACTGGCAAGTTCAAAATCTCACAACTATAAAGCAGGACTGAACGAACGCCAGTACAATACATACGACCTTTCAGCTTCAGTGAAACGTCGCGTCTACTCCAAAAACGCGTAAAACGTGCCCCAATTCATGGTAGGTCAAGTCAACTAAGAGTTGACTTCGTTTATGAAGCCAACAAAAATACCGGTCGGTCATGTTGACCATTTTATTTTTTAAACTCCCAAGTCAACTCACGACTTTGTACGCGCACACTCTACCAGCTGAGCTACGAGGCCACATCGATAGCACTGATCTTTTCACATTCGGATTTACCGATCCAACGTGGGTTCGAATCCCATCGAGGCTACTGAACCTTTCACAATCGACATACAAACTTCAAATGTGCCTAACAACAATTTGAACAATTCATGATTTATCTTACGTTGATGTAAATTGTATCCCCCCTAAACGTGGTTGGTTTGGTGGAGCAGTATTCAATCCACAAGCTCCATTGTCCTTTACCACCCAGTTGGAGCCAGTCATTGACGTCTGTTCACTGAACTTGGCAATTTGTTTGCAAACGTTTCATCACTAGCCGAGGTGAAAGCTTCATTACTTGTGGCGTGGAGTTTTCACCTCGGCTGGTGATGAAACGTTCGCAAAAAAACTGAAAAATTCGTCCTACCGGCGAAAATAAATTCGACCCACCCGAGCGACAAGAACTGTTTTTCAATACTTTGCCAAACAATCGTTTCAAACACTATTGAAGTTACCTGCTCCTGCGTCCATCTAGCGGGGTATTCTTGACCAGTAAAATACTCCTTTTCGTTTTAATTTACTAGAGTAAAATCGGATAATCAGCTGACCTTATGGATCTGTGCTCTGTCTGACTTTACCCATTGTCCTTTCGGGTATGGTTGCGAAAAGTCATCCTGTTTAGACTGCAGGCTCATAGAGGCACCCTAGCCATCAGATCACATTGAGGTACTGTGTCGTTGTGACGGCTTGATTTCAACCAAAATACAGAGTAGCGAAGAAGCTCGTTTTCAGTGATTGGTAACAATACCAGTGTATCACTCATTGGGAAAGAAAGAAAGAAAATGTTTTGAAACACAGATTACTAGGATTGATTGCATAATGAGACGAATAGATTAGCCATCCCTTGCTTAAATTGGGTGACTACTGTTAGTTGATACCAGCTGTCGTTCTGAAACCTAGTTATCTCAAAAGGTATAATGTCTCCGACCCGGTGGGGTTTTCATCATCTGTCAAAGATATGGATTGATACCTGTACCTTGGTGACAAAACTACTGGGTTCACCATGGGAAGTGAACGGGTTTTA